AGCCACGACTTTCTGAAAGCTCAACCAGACGACACTGCAGCTGCGGCGCAAATCTACTTTTTGCGCTTCGTATTGCACGATTGGGCCGATTCCATCTGCATCGACATTCTCAAGGCGCTTCGAAGCAAAGCGAAACCGGATTCCAAAGTGTTGCTGCTCGAAGTCGTCGTGTTTGGCGACGATTCGCGCTACGCCAATGTGCTTTCGGTGCACCTGGGCGCCGTCGCCGGATCGCACGAACGAACAGAGTCGGAGTACAATGCCTTGCTGGTGAAAGCTGGCTGGAGACCCAGCAAGACGTACCGCACGCGAAGCATCATGTCCGTCATCGAGGCCGTTCCTGCGTAGCGCGAGCGCGACTGCGAGCGAGACTACAAAAATGTGCGCGTGCGCGTCGCTCCCACATCCATGTCATCATTCGCATCGTCCCACCTGAGCGCCGCTTCCATTTCCTCGTCTTCATCCACCATATCCCAAGCTTCGCTGCGATGCGGCAAGTTTGACGATCCTAATGAATAGTTTGCTGTACCAGTAGCGTCCCATGACCTCGCAGAATGAAAGGATGCGGTCGCGCTGCTATCGGCGGCAGCGGCGGCGTCGGCGTCGGCGTCGGAGCGAGCTGCTGCCCTCCCACGTATGCTCAATTCCATGGAATCGTCGGCAGTCAAGTTGGCATTTCCGCTGCCACTTGGTTTCTGTCGCTTGCCCGCTCTCAATGGTTCCTCGTCTTCTTCCGGTGGATTGCTTGACATCGTACCCGCGCTCGTGCCCGCGCGCGGTCTCGCATCGTCGTGCACGCCGTTCGAAACACTCGACATTGCGCTGCTCTCGTGGCGGGGCAACGACCTGCCCGCAGCGTTGACGTGCCTCGCCAAATGCTGGGGAAGCGCAGCGGGTCGCAAAGGCGCAGCAAGACGTGGTGTCGGTGCATGCGCGTTCGCGTTCGCGTTTGCGTGCGCGTTTGCGATTCCGCTGCCGCTGCCGCTCGCAAGCGGCGTGTCCGACGACTGTCGAGCTCGCGCAGGTGGTGGGCGTACCGTGGCAGACAGAGGTCGATCGTCGTCGTCGTCGTCGGAATCCAGCGTCAGATCGATGACGTGAGCAGAAGCGGCGACTCCGTGCGCAGAAGCGGCGACCTCGGGCGCAGAAGCGGCAAGCTCTGGCGAATCATCCAGCACCATGACATCTGGCGTGCGCTGTCGCTTCCTCGTCGTTGTGCTCGATGGCGTGTCCCTACTGCCATTGCGTGGGACGACGCCAGAATGTGGCTCCTCCGCAGCAGGCTTCAAATCCGCTTCCACTTCCGTCGACGTCGTCGACGTCGACGTCGATGTAAATTTGCCATCTTCCGTCCTCCACTTGCCATCCGGCTCGATGAGCACACGCTCTGCAGATTCCGGTACGCGCTCCAAAATGTCCTTGCAAAAGCTGTCCAGACGGCGCTCCAAGTATGAGCTCGAGCGCGCGCGCGACTCGGTGGCTCTCGTCGCACTCACCCATCGACAAACAGATCCTCGTGACGAATGTCGCTGGAACACACGGGACACTGCCACACGGGCGACGTCTCGTTGAGACTGTAAAACGCGCCAGCATCAAACGTCTGCACGTGCGGACACGTCGTCGCCCTCGCAGGAGTCTTGATGGTCATGTAGCTGAGCGGGCATTTGAACCTAAAGGTTTGCGCACCCGCTTCGATCTCGTCGTCGTCTGCCGCTCGCTTCATTCCAGCAATGACCTTTTCCTTGCTGTGCGTTCTTTCTTTGGCTAGATTCGCTGCCAACTCCTCTGGCGAGGTGACCCTGCACAGCGCAATGGCCATGGCATGCGAAGTGGGTGCATGACTGCCCGACCTATCCGTCTGATACCGCACCTCGATCGAATTCGGCTTGTTGGGATCCATGAACAGCAAGCCCTTGCTGAGATCCGGCGGTGGCACCCTGCCGGCATGCTTCTTGCTGCCTTTGAGCGCACCCGCATACTTGGTGGAATTGACAAACAGCTCCGAGCCGAATGGGAAATCGATAAAGCACGGATGCGCTGCGCCTGTTCGAGAAGCGGAAGCATCCCATGCGGGTTTCGGTGCGACGAACAGCCGATACTTGTACTTGTCCGGCTGATCCTTGACCAGTTGCGCGTGATCCGCTCTGACGTTCATCCTCAGCAATGCCGCCTTTCTGCCTTCCGAGGGTGTGCACGGCAACAACAATGTGGACGTGGATGCCCACTCGTGAATCCGATAAAATGGCGAGGGTTTGAAATTCGGCTGCGTCGCTGGTGCGCTGCGCGTGGCAGTCGCCGCCGCGACGTTCGACGGCGTGTAAGCGCCTGCACCCGTCGGCGCACCACCACCACCACCGCCACCATACCCAGGAGCAGCCGGCTGCTTGACGGGAGCATTCTGAATATCCTTCATCCAGTCGAACGTGCCATTTGTCGTCTGAGAAGCGACTACGCGTCTTGCCATTTCCCACCTGGCAGCATCCCCTCGATGGTAGTAATCCTGTATGGCGTCGCGAAGCCTATTGTGCAGCTCTGGCTTGTTGCCAGAGATGCGCAGGCCCAAGTCCCTCAGGCTTTCTTTGAGCTGGGGGACGGTGAAGTTGTTGCCAATGTGGCTCAATATTCGCTGTGGAGAAGCGTGAGCGGCGGCGTGAGCGGCGGCGTCTCCTATTTCTCTCTCGCGCTCTCTCCCTCTCGCCCGCTCTCCCTCTCTCGCACGCTCTCCCTCCCTCCCTCCCTCTCTCGCGCTCGCACGCTCACCGGATGAAAGTGCCAAGGAACACCTCCGGAAGAGGGTCCTGCCAAGTGCGCCATGCCTGTCTCCTCCCCACTATGATTGCGTGGATGCGTTTGTGTGCTGGCAATGGCATGGGTGTGTGTATGCGTTGCGCGAGCGCGTGTTGTCTGCGCTTGGAGGGTGGACAAGTGGGCCTGTGAGAGGGGACCTTCTCACGCTTCTCACGAATCGTCTTCACATGCAAGTAAGTCGTGCCGAGAGCAAAAGTCGAGAGGAGAAGGTCAGTCGAGGAGGCTAAGCGGAGCAGACGGATGGACGAACCGCTGCCACTCAGCGATGATGAGGTGTGCGCGTGGGGGGCAAGTATAGGAGTGCACCGGCCGGTATACAAGGAAGCATCAACGCGATGCGCTCGTTTGCGAGAAATTGAATCAAGAATCACGAATCACGAATCGCGAAGTCGTGCATCGCTCGCTCGCTCGGGCATGCAGATAGATGATCACGTGATTTATCATCCCTGCGCGTCAATTTACGCCTGCTGCGCGCGCGCGCGCGTGCATTTGATTCTTCCCGCGACTCGTCTCGCCGCGCGCGGAGAAGAGTTGCGCATTTTGCGTGATCAACGTCATCATCTGTACGCGCGCGCGGCAGCTTGCGTGTATATATATATATACAGAGCACCGCGGCGGGAGCGAGGTTCAGGCAATCACGAATGTCTCGGTTGCGCAAACACGTTGATCAACAGGATTGGATGGTCTGATCGAGCAGCCTGCCGATCGCGGAGATGTGGCACGGCATCAACTCGTGACTAAGCCAGGCGCCCGCGCGAGCGATCACACGTTCCATTCGAGCGACTCCACCCACCCACCCACCAGCACTCCACGACTCGCGCACACACACGCGCGCACCGCACACCGCACCGCCATGACGAAACTCGCCGACGACGCCGAGAAGAATGCCGTCTCCCTGGCGCATCTCTTCATCTCCCACTTCAATGCTCAAGTCAAGCACGAAGCTGCGCATTTGCGCGAACGGAGCGCGGGCAGCGCGCGTCTCGTCGACATGGTGCAGCAAGGCTTGACTCCTGTGCAGATGCGCCATTCTCTAGGCACAGCCGAGCAGATGCAACGCTCCTTTGATCGCATGCTCGCATACACTGCCCCTCTCTCGCTCGGACTGGCTCTGTTGGAGTATGAGCAGCGCGGCGGGTGTGCGCGCGGAGCAGCAGCAGCAGCAGCGGCGCAGTCGGTGCACCACGCTCCTCCTCCTCCTCCTCTCGTCACCACTAGCCAAATCAAGCACCACCTGCTAGAGCATCCCCTAGATTACGCGCCATTTGCACGATTCGTGGACAAGGAAAAGGCGAATGGTAGTCTCGTGGGCGATCCAGCGTGGGAGAGCGAGCCGGGAAGCAAAAAGAACACCTTGCAGGCCCAGATTGGGAAAATGCTCAGCAAGCTACAAGAGGCAGTGTGTGAGTCGTGGGCCACGCCCCACGCACGCGCCCCCGCGCCCACGCTCACAGTGCACCGTTGAACGCTCGATCGCCATAGTCAAAGGCCTGGAGAGCGCAAACATAACCGCCCGCACCAACCCCCTCGTACACCTCCTCCAGTCGGTGGATCAAGAGACGCTTGGAGCGTGCATCTTCAACACGCCAAACGCACCCCTCATTCCATCCGGTCCAGCGCTCGATTCGTCTCCTGCACCATCCACCGATCTGGCCATCGCGCACCACGTTCGCGGGACCTGCCTACTCGACGCCCTGGCAGAAGCGCTCAAACAAAGCGGTACTCGCGCATTCCAAGATGCGCGATTCGAAGAGGCGATGCGTGATTATGAATTGGCAGCCGTTGGAAGTGTTCGCTCGACGGCTCTTTGCAACGCTGCTGCTGCCGCGCTAGCCTGCCATCGGTGCGTTCGTGGGTGACGCTCTGCTAGCGTTCGCCATGCGCATCACCCTGCTGAGACCTTTGCCCCACCAGCTTCGAAGACGCGCTTGAATTCTGTCGCGGTGCACTCGTGTCTAGTGCGGCATCTCGCGACTTGGTATGCGACCGTCAAGCCGCCATGGACCTTGCTGTGGGTCGCGAGGCTGTTCCACCTAGCGTCATGGACCCCGCGATCCGTTGGAAGGTACTGATTCGACAAGGCAGAGCATTGTCGGGGCTGGCGCTGGATGCCAAAGCCAAGTCGGAGGAGGACAAAGCGAAAGCGCGCGCTACAGAGGCCAAACAATGTGAGCTGCAAGAGCGCTTGACCCGCGCGACCCCGCTGACCTGTATGCCCCCCCCCCCCCCCCGCATCAGCACTCACCGCCGCCATCGCTGCCAAACCTTTATCAGCTCCAGTTGCGCGTCAAGACCTTGCCAAGCTGCTGCAAGAGTTTCCAAGCCAGTAGGCGTGGGCATCCGCTATGGATGTGCGGGCCTAGTCACGCCCGCGCGCCCGCCGCACTCGCCGCGTAGACCTCCCCTTTGAGCTCCCAAGCTGCTCTATTCCTCCACCTGCCCTTTTCGCTCCAAAATCGAACCACAATCTCCCACTCTTTGCCTCGAGGCATCCTGTCCCGTGCGTCGTCTGAGAGGGGCATGACGACGAGTGGCTGAAATGCGCGTCGCAGCGTCGTCTGAGCTTGTTGATGTGCTGCGGCGGGCGGATGGACGTGCAGGACTGGCACGTCGAGCGGTGGAGGATTAGGAAACTGGTGTGTGTGTGGTGGGGGAGGGGCCAGACGTGTCAGCACAGGGATGCTCGCAGGGCTTGCAGCACATCTCGAACTTTTGCCCCGCGCTCTCGCGCCGCACCGCACCGCCCCGCCCCGCCCCGCCCCCCTCACTCACGCTCAACATGCCACCACACACTGCGACGACGCTGCCGAGCAAGCGCTTGTTGGCTCTGCACCAAGCGTGCGTGCCCTCTAGCGCAGCTGTAGCTCCCTGTCCAAACCCAAGCAAATGCACATGCTCGCTCTGCCATCCGCACATCCTCAACTCGTCCAAAAGCGTGTGACAGTCTTCGATGAATGCGGAAGGATTCTGAGCGGATGCGGGAAGCACTGTGGTCAGGGGGGGCGTGGGGCGTGGTCCGCAGAGTCACGAGTCAGCTTCGCGCGCTCGCTCGCTCGCTCGCAGGCTCGCACGCACTCTCTCCAAGCGGATCCCAAGCATCCCACCACATGCCTCCGCCCAGCAGCGGCACCGTCCTCGCACCTCTCAGTGCCAAGACGGCGCACTGTGGCAGCGCTCGCTGCAGCTGTTTGCCCAAATCGACAAACGACGCTTGCGTGTCTCCAAGACCGTGCAGCAGTATCAACAGGTTGGAGTCGACTTGTTGAGGTGAGGCAATGTACGCGTGCTGAAATGCGATGCGCGACGGCGACGGCGGCCGTTTGATGGCGGGCTCGGTGATGCGCTCCATGGTCAGGCAGGGGGGGTGTCGCGCGCGGTGGATGTAGGAAACAGGATTGAGGGAGGCATGTATAAACGCGCGGCGGGTGCGGTTGCGGTTCCGCGCTCGGGGCGCGGCCGAGAAGCGCGCGCGCGCACGCACGGAAGGGTGAACGCAATCCCGCCCGCCCGCTCGCTCACTCGCACCCACGCACACACGCTGCACATCGACACTCGTGATATTAATAAAGGTCGAGCAAGCGACACTCGTAGCTCGCTCGGGGATCAAACAGTACGGAGGGGGAGAGAGAGAGAGAGAGAAGAGAGAGACACGCCCGCTCGCCCGCCCTACTTTTCATTCTTGGCAGCCTCGGCAGCCTCCTTGGCCTCGGCAGCAGCCTCTTCGCGCTCCTCTTGAATTTCCGTAATCTCATCGTCGATACCAATCGCCTCGTCGTAATCCTCCAGCTCAATGTCGGGTCTGAACAAGAAGGGCTTGATGAGCTTTTCAAAGTAGGGATGAGCCTTGAGCTGAGGATTCTGCTGTCTGACGCGTCCAAAGTAAGCCCTGTAGATGTCGCCATCCCACCTGCCAATGGGAGAGTTGAGGACGTGGTCGCTGATGGACCAGCTGTCCACCAGTGGAATGACGTACTTTCTGGTATCCGCGCAAAAGTCCGTCACCTTGGCTTGCACAGCGTCGAAATCGGCAGGGCTGAGCCAGCCGGATCGCAAAAAGAAGCTTCCCTGCTCCTCCATGCGCCACAAGCCGTAAAACACCGCCAGACGGGTCAAGTGCTCCTTTACGCCATCGCCCTTGTCCTCCATGCGATCGACGGCCTGCTTGAATTGACGGAAGATGAAGCCGCTGACGTGCACCATGGCAGCGACGAAGCGCGATTGACTGGCCTCTTCGAATGCCAGCTCCTTGGACTTGCCAGCCTTGATGTGCGATTGGTAATCCTCGCCGGCCTTTTTGACGGCGTGAGCAGTCACCGTGCCCCAACCCTCTTCAATGTGCTTCAAGTCGAGCAGCGCATCGCCTCCCTTGCACTTGCGCTTGAGGACATTGTCGAGATCGTTGAGATAATCCGTCGCATCGCCCGATTTCTTGCCCTCTAGCGCTTCGAGGTACGACTGGACGAGGGACCTTCCGGATTGCAGGGCGAGAATGTGATTGTCTCCTTCCCACGTCGCGTGCACAGCAAAGTCTGCCTCCATGGATGCGAAACCATTGTAGGAAGAGTAGCCGTGTCCACCACAGGCAAGACGCGCTTGCTTGATCGCTTCGAGCGTCTGCCAGACGCAGTGCGCCTTGAGACCGCTGGATGAAATGTGCGTGCTCTTTAGCTGCTCCAGCGCGCGATCCATTTCAGGTCCAGGCTCCATGGCTTCCAGGGATGCGCTCGTCTCTTCGAACATCTTGGTCAAGTTGAGCGCGGTAAAGGCGAAAGCGGTGGCCTGCGCGACGAGGGGCATGAGACGGCGTTGGTGGAGCAGGTAATCGAGAATGGGCGTCTCGTGCTCCTGCTCGGCCGAGCTCTTGAACTGTCTCCTGACGGCAGCATACCGCACCGCAATCGTGAGGGCCTTTTTGGCAGTGTTGGCAGTGTCCACCACCATCGACACGCGACCTTGAAGCAGCGCCACGTAGCTGAGCTGCTGCATGGGCGGTTCGAACACTTGTCCCTCTCGCGTGACTTGCGTGTGCTTCATGAGCATGTATGCGCGGGGAATGCGCACGTTTGTGAATTGAATGTAGCCATTGTCGATGCCATCGCGACCCATCTTTTTGCCAATGTCACCAATGTTGATGCCTGGCAAGAGTTGAAAGGACTGCGGTTCACGAAGAGGCACGATGAACGTCTTGACACCGTGTTTCTTGCCGCGAATGATCATCTGCGCAAAGACGGAGCAGTGCGTGGCGGTCTGAGCAGCACCTCCGATCCACCACTTGGTGGCACCAATGTTGGGCGTATGAACGACGAATTCGTCCGTCTGTTCGTCGAACGTGGCTGGGCGTGGGAGAGCGCGAGAGAGAGCGCGCGCGCGAGAGAGCACGGAGTGCACGGGGGCGAGTCAGTGCCGGCGAGCGCCCATACACCTCCACCGCCACGCCGCCACCTCCTCCTCCACTCACCAGTTGTTTCGAGACCAGCGACGTTGGAACCGTGTGCGAGCTCGGTCATGCCGAAGCAGCCGTACATGCCCTTGCAAGAGACGACGCCCTTTTCCATCCAGTAGGAGAATTGGTTTGCAGTGGCGCCCGATCGGATAGCGCCGAGGAAAAGACCATAGTGCACCCCGAAACGAGTCCAGAAGCCGGGGTCGACTGCCGGGAGTGGGGGTGAGGGTGTGCGTGGCGCGTGGTGCGTGGCGTGGCGCGTGTCAGAGCGAAGCCAGACGAGGAGATAGGCGCACCGTTACTCACACAAACCGATCAATTCCATGCGCTTGGTGAACTGCGACGAGGCGGGGGAGAGGGTAAGCGCAAGCGCATGCACACACGCACACGCACACGCACACTGCACGCCCCCTTCACTCACATGCTCGATGCTCTCGTTTTGAACGCAGTGCACCAGACTTCCAATCTTGGCCATGGTGCGCTCGCGCAACTGATCCTTGGTCAAGTCGTGCACATCGCCCATGTAGAAGATGGGATCTCTAGAAATTTCCAGCATGAACTTTTCCTTTAACAGCAGCTCCTTTTCCGTGCCGTGCTGAGCGATGGACATGGCTCGAACGTTAAAGGGAGGATTCTGCCTCTCCTTGGCCATCGTCTCTAGAGGCAGATTGTCCCTCCAAGAAGACGCCATCTTGTTTGTGTGTGGGGAGGGGGGAGGGGGAGGTGGGGTGAGGGGGTGCAATGGATGTGTAACGGGTGGGTGGTATTTGTCACGCGACGGCGGCGATGGTGGTGGCGTAGAGCAGGGACTCAAGAGGCACTGACGAGGGTGCCGGACAAGAGCACCACACTCCAGCTATAGTCATCCGCGACTTTCACGTCTTCTGTCGCCCGCACGCTCAGTGGTTGGCTGAGCGAGCCGACGAGATGCGTCGCTGCTGCTGCTGCAGAGTTAGTCGACCAACCCGCGAAAGGGGGGGGAACCTCCTGCGCACGCGCGCGCGCGCGGCTGCATCAGCAGCGCGTGAGAGCGATACCTTTTGCGGAGAGATTTGTCCGCTCTCTGTTGTCGCGGTGCGGGTGCGTGTGCGGTGCGTGTGCGTGCGTGCGTGCGAGTGTGCGTGTGCGGGTGCGGCGCGGTGCGTAAGCAAAAGGCCGGTTTGAAAGGCAAAAAGTCAGAAGAGTCTGCATGATGAGTGTGTGCGCGCGCGCACGCCCGCGATGAGGGAGAGACGCCTGGCGCATAGCGACGCGGCGATCGACCAAGCCGGCATGCACGACCATCACGCAGCAGACTTTTACACCTGCTGATGCTGCTGGATGCTGCTGCTGCCCTTGCGCCGCATCGTATTCCAAAACACGTGACTTGCACCCGGCTTTCAAATCTTGGCTGCGCATGCATGCTCTGCATGAGCGCGCACCCGCTCCTCCCGGCCGCGGCCATTCCGGATTACCGGCGAAGATCGACTCTCCCAAGCATGGCGATCCATTTTGTTTTTCTCGGCCGGCGGTGCGGTGAACATGTCACGTGCGACGTTCGACGTTCGGGGATGCACGAAGCTACGACGAGCGGTACTTCATCTACTGACACGACGAGCAGCGGTATTCTTGATTTCATCTACCGACCAACACATGCACACGAGCCTTTTCACCGTCATGCTCGACTTCCCTCGACTGTATCACTTTGCTGTTTTCCGTCAACTGTCCGACATTTTCACTACAGCACCTCCTGGCAGCCCCCCTTCGTGAGACACAGTGGGGGGCCATCCCGCTCGTCATGACGAGCGTGCGAAGCGAACTCGCGAAGGAGTGTCGTTGCCAAAATGATGCGATGCTTGCTTGCTTGCTTGCTTGCGTGCGTGCGTGCGTGTGTGTGTGGTTGCGCAGAGACAAAAGTATAGGACACGTACAGAGAGGAAGAAACAGTAATGAAACATGGACGAGAGCGGGGCGTTCGCGCTCGCGTGCAAAGGGTGACCAAAGAGCAAGATGGACAGCGCGCGCGCGCACACACTAACGCTGCTGGGTGGGGGAAATGTCCAAATCGGCGGCAGCAGCGATCGCAGCCTCGGCTTCAGCAGCCGCTCTGAGCGCCGCTGCCGTCGCCCCCGCCGCTTGACCTTGCCCAGCAGCAGCCTGATCCTCCAACGCGCCAGCGCCGAGCGTCTGTTCATTCTTCCAAGCCGGGCTGACGGGTGTGAAACCGAGCGCACCTCCTCCAAACCCGCTGCCTGCTCTCCTCACCTTGACGCCCGTAGCGCGTCCAAACGTGTTCACCGGCGAACTGCGTCCGCTACCACCCGGCGTCCCAGCCTCCGTTCCGCTCTCTTCCGCATCCGTATCAAAGTAGCCCATAGCTCCCTCCACGCCCACGCCATTTGCTCGGCCTGCCAAGTAGGAGCGCAGATAGCTGGGAGACAAGGGTGGACTGATGGCTGAAGCATCCAACGAAGGCGTCGAAGCCCCGCTGCCACCGCTCAACCTCTCCCCTCCTCCCGCGCCACGTTTGGCATGGTCCAAAGCAGCAGCAGCATCCTGAGTAGTAGCAGCAGCCGCAGCTGCGGCGGCAGCGGCAGCGGCAGCAGCAGCTCTCACCGACGACACCCTCGCAAAGCTTCCTCCCGTTCGCACCCATTCCTCTTCCGCATCCGCGCTGGCTGCAGATGCGCTGCGTGCTCGATGTCGCAGCAGCGCTTCAGCGTCGTACGTCCCAGGAGTCAATAGGGGTGCCTTGGTCTGACCTGGTGATGCGCTCGCGTGTGCGTGAGCGCCTGGAAAAGGTACCGCTTCGGGTTGTCGAGGAGGTAAAGAGATGCTGCCAGGTCTCGTCTGGTGTTGCGCGACGCGCACTCGTCGTCTAGTCAGGCCTGTGGGGGGCGAGGGGGGGGGTTTAGCGAAGAATGAGCATAAACAATGGCCTTGCCCACGCTATCCGCACGCATACACGAGCAGGCTGAGCATCTGTCGTGCCACGCTGTCCGCACGCATACACGAGCAGGCTGAGCATCTGTCGTGCCACGCTGTCCGCACACGACTCACCAAGTGTTCGAAAGACGGCATACCATGCAAAGTCGAGCATGCCAATGACGGCAATGGGAGCAAGGATGAGGGCAGCTGTAAGCCTGCAGAGACCGGGCAGTGGAGCCAAGAGCGGGGGCAATGGAGGATCGAGCAGCAAGGCTAGCAAGGTGCCGTTCCTCCAAGCTTGTCCGAGATCCGCTGATGGCGCTTGCGAAGCATCATGCGCGCTCCCGTACGCCGTGCTGCCGGAGAAGAGCTGCTCGGCCAAGCTCGATCGAGCAGAGAGGAACAGATCGCTGGCAGAGAACATGGCGAAGGTGCGAGGCGTGAGGACCGCGTGCAACTCGTGAGCGCGCGCGAGTGCAGGGTGTGTATATGCCTTTTCGATCCTTGATGGGGCGTGGAGTTGAGCGCGCGAGCTGTCGAGTCGAGTGTCGGTGCTCTAGGATCGCGAGGCGAGCGGTAATCTGAGAATGTTCCGAGAGGTGCGCGCGCGCGCGCCAGAGAGAGAGAGAGACGGGGGTGCGGTTTCGATCGTCGAGGGAGGCGCGCCGGCAAAGGGGGGCAGCCGGAAGGAGGCTATTTGATGGAGGGCGCCCGTGATAAGAGCGGTCGCGATATCCCTGCGGACCCAATGTCGAAACAGAGTTGCGGTCGAGGTGGATCGAATGAGAAGTCCGTTTGATGAGCGCGCGCGCGGGCGCGCACGGGAGGGCAGTGTTGGACTCGCGCGGACTCGGTATGCTGGTGGATTGCTGTGCTGTTGCGCAAGTCGGTCGGTGATGGTGATGATGATGATTTGAAAGGGGTGCGTGTGCGTGTGCGTGTGCGTGTGCGTGTGCGTGTGCGTGTGCGTGTGCGTGTGCGTGTGCGTGTGCGTGTGAGGTCAAGAGTCAATTAGTCGTCGATGAGTCGCTCCGACTGAAGATGCCCGACTCACGACTCACGACTGGTCACAACGATGAATCACCATCGCTCCACCAACTGAACTCACGATTCACGATTCGAACGGAGTTGGGCGGGGGAGTACGCCGGGTTCGTGCGTGCGAGCGTGCGTGTGTGTGTGTGCGTGCGTGTGCGAGGAGGTTTGCAGGGTGCATGCATTCACGATTTCATGGCACGGTGCGGCCCGCGCGCGGGAGGTGCATGCGCGTGCAGCAGCAGCAGCGAGCATGCATGCACGCATCAGCGACGCAGGGCGCTCACCCGAGCGTGTGAAGCTAGTGTGAGTATATTGCGCGGGGTGATGGATGGATGGATGGTCAGTGCGCGTCGTGCATGCGTGCGTGCACCACCACCACCACCACCAAAACCCAAGAGTCACCGAACCTCACAGTCGACTTGACTTTGAGCTTTGCTGAATCGCAGGCGCACGCACATGATGGTATGCCTATGGCCCTCTCAAGAAACAAGAAAAAGCTCGAGCAGGTGGACGTGTCTCTGCACCCCTTGACGCTGCCTGCATGCGCATTCGTGAGGAGTGTGAGTGTGAGTGGATGGGAGCATGGGTGCGCGGCGCGGCGCGGCGCGGGTGCAGCAGTGCGTCACGAGTTTGGGGTACAAATGTCCAGCGTCGAGCGTCGACCTCGTCCGTCGGCATCGCATCCCGCGCGAGGGGCGCGAGGGGGTTTTGGAAAGTCTTGCTCTTGCAAGCAAACTTTCGAGAATTTGAGCGGTTGGTGCTGAATCGTGTTGAGTCGTGAGTCGTGAGTCGTGAGTCGTTAGTCGTTGTTAGTAGCAGCGCACGCAGCGATCAACAAAGAGACCACCCCGCGCCCGCGCTCTCGCCCTGCCCCCCCCCCCCCCCCCCCCCCTCCCCCCTCATCCCACTCGCATTCGCATTCGCCTCGCCTCCCCTCCGCTCCGCTCCGCTGCTCAACGCCTGCGCGCTCGGCTCCGCATGACCAATTCGTCGCATCAGGGCATCCATCGGCCATGGACGACTGACATCACGAGCAAACACGCCACGCCATGCAGCTCTCCTCTCTCTCTCTTTCTCTCTCTCTCCCTCTTGCGCACACACCCACACACACGCTCACGACAACGACGTGTGGCATGCACTTCAGTTGAATTTGCGCGTGCGTGCGAGAAAAATCCTGCGCGACCGCCTCGCTCGCGCGCCTCTCACTTCCAACTGGCAGAAACGAGTTTGGAAACGGTGGAAATAGCCCTGAACCGAACATCGGGATCGGAATGTTGAATCAATTCCAAGCACCTCGCTTTCGCTCCCAGCTTGTCCAATTTCCTAAGTCGTGTAGGTGCACGCCAGGTCAGCTCGCGCGCGCGCGCGCGCGTACGCACACGCACCCACTCTCGAACTCACTTTTTGGCGCTGTCGACAACGCTCACGATGCGTCCCAGATCCGATGCAGCCACGGCCAAGCTCGCAAGATCGCTCTCTTCGCTTTTCAATATGCCCACCAGGGATTTCAAAATCTGACCATCGTCATCACCCACAATCTTTGCCGCATTCTCCTTCCAAAACTCGTCCAAAGAGTGCATCGGCGTTTCGAAAGTCAACTTGCCGGATGCCACCTCTGCCGCGTATTCGTCGAGCGAGCTGGGGGTAAGGAAATGACGGTGCAGCAGCAGCATCATCATCAGCATGCGCGAACACGCTCGGCATCGCTCCCACCCACTTTGTGCTCACCTCATACCCTTTTGTTTCTCTGCGAGCACCTCTCCAATCGCATCCAAGTCCTCCTTGATCTCTTCATCTCCCCACTGCCTAGCCTTGAGCGCCGCGATGAGATCGAGACCCTTTGCACCGAGCATCGCCTTGGCATTTTCTCCCTCTGCCTTGCTCAAAAGGTTCCTGAGCGTAGCCAACGTGATGCGCACCACTTTTTCCTTGTTGGCACCGCGCGCAACATCCACCAACAGCGAAATGGTTCCTGTAAATTTCACATTGAGAGAGCTAGCAATGTCCTTTGCAAAGGTCAGCAACCACAAGCTGAAAATGACTTGGTAAGTTGTTTGAGCAGAGATGCTGGATGAAGAGGTGGATCCCGGCGTCGCACTGCCAGACTTTTCGCCCGAGCCGACCAAAGTTGCTCGAAGGATGCTCGTCAGACCGCTAATAATGCCTGGAGTTTGATGGGGCGCGCCGTCGCCGTCACCGCCGCCGTCGTGGTCGTGGTCGCTCGCGCTCGGTACCTCTCCCAGCCGCTCGAGGTCCCGCGACCATACCTGCTGCCTCAGCGCACCATCCCTGAGCAACGCCTGCAGCAGCTGGATAGCCACATCCGCTCCATTACCTTCTGCATATCCCGTGGTGGCGCTAGGCGCAGCGAGCACGCCGTTTCCTGCTCTGGAAGGGTGCAACGCTGCGGCGCCAGACGCACCACCGGTATTGATCAGGAGGGACAAGAAATCCAGCAAGCGTTCGATGGCCTGTTGAGGAGGTTTGGTAGCGCTCGACTTGGAGGGCGAGAGCAGCAGCAGCGTGAGAATGTGAGCCGCCTTGAGCTGCACAAAGTCGTCTGTCACATCCAGCAGTCTGTTTGATGCAGGGAAGAGGGGTGTGTGTGTGTGGGGGGGGCCGGGCGCAACAGTAGTGAGCGAACGCACGCGCACGCACGCACACACGCAAACTCACTTGATGAGGGGCGCCCATGGCCACACAGGGCTCGCTTCGCCGGCTTCACCACCGGCCTCTTGGGGTGCAGGTACATGCTTGAACAGCTCAATCCTCTCGTCGTGGTCCTTTAGCATATCGGTGACGAGGACGAGAACTTGCTGAATCGTATCCGTCCTTCCCAGCTTTGCCAGCAAGCGCAGGTACAACTGAGCATACGCGTTGCCTTGCTTCTCCATCGTCTCCTCCTTGATCGTGCTGGTGGAGGAAGTGGCATCGATGGATCTGATCATGCGCAGCTCTTCCGAAGACACGAGATCCGCGCGTTGATAGCCTTCCCATGGGATCGGCCTGGATCGAATGCGCGACGAGAGCGACAAGAGCCAGTCGTTGGTCAAATTAACGAGAGGCGGTGCTGGCTCGCGAGGTGCCGCCGCTGCCGCCGCTGCCGCCGAGCTGCTCTTGCTGCTGTTGTCCTTACCGCTGCTGGTCGCCGTGCCATTGGCACCCGCGGCCGATGCGCTCGACATGATCGAGCGCGTGAGGCGTTGAGACTATATACGCGTGCGAATGCTTTGTGAGAGGCGAGTATGAACAGAGTCGAGCAGATTCACTCTGGGATGCGCGGAGATGGTGGTACGGTATGTCTGGGCAACGCGCGCTGCCCCTAGCCGCCCGCCTGCGCAACGTGCTCGCCAGAGCGCACATCTACGGCGGCGGCGGCGAGCGCGGGCGGCCGAGCAGGCGCTTTCTGATGGCGCTGCATGTCGTGACGGCGGCCGGCCTGCAGGGGCCATCCCTTGCGGCGGTCACGTGTCGCGCAGGGCGCTTCACGCTCGCCGATCGACCACCACCACCATTCACGATCGCGCTACCCCTGTCAAGGCTGTGGAGCGTGACTCCGTTCACGCACACAGTCTGCCTCGCTCGTGTGCTCTCGGATGACCCACGACTCGTATCAGAGTCTGAGTTTGAGCGACTGGTATGTACCCCCGACTCGTATCAGAGTCACTCAAGAGTCGCGCTTTGAGGCATTGCTGGTGGGTGCTGAGTCAGGCAACGGCCCTGCGCAGCTTATCTCCCAAGTCACTTGACCGCCTCAGCCGCCAAATCAGCACCGTTTCATTGATATCGATGGAGAGCAGCAGCGATGTGGATCGCGAAAGATGGCGCCGTGCGCAAACGTGAATAAATCGACGATGGTGTGATCGACGCCTCTAGCGCTCCGAGCATTGTGATTGAACATTGGGCGGATCGATCGCATCGCCCGACTTTTGCGATCAGAGGAGCGACAATGACGGACGCCTCTGGCCGCCTCAGCATTTACATCCCCAGCAGGCCGATCGCATCGCCCGAAGGCTGCGATCAGAGGAGCGACAGCGACGGACGCCCCTGGCCGCCTCAGCATTTACATCCCGAGCAGGCCGATCGCATCGCCCGACTCTCGCGATCACAGCACTGGCCACGTCACGATGAGCGAGAAATCGCGTGCTTGCTTCTATGACGCTGTGTGTGCGCCGGCCGACGTATGGTCACGAAGAGAAGGGCGAGCCTCACATGGCGTCTAGCTTGCCCACAATGGACACGCTGGACGACTTATAAAAGCGGGTCTCTTTGTCGCTCGCTCTTTCTCTACTCTCTACACAACAATTCGTCGAGCAGGTCTCGCACAAGCTTTCTTGCCTAGCCCACCTCCATCGCCAGCGCTCCAAGAACCTTGCAATGCAGAACAAGACCCTGCTGCTCGCTTTCGTCGGTCTGGCGCTCAGCCTACCGAACGGATCCTTCGCCGGACCTGTCACTCTACAGCCCCGTGCCCCACCTGTCATCGAAACGCTCAGCGACCTTGTCCGAGGATCGCGATCCGGTCTGCGCCACCGCTTCACTCCCATGCGCTCCAGCGAAGAGATCCACCTCGGAGAGGCGCGCCCTTTGCGTGGGGGCTACGTGCCCGGCAGTGGCAAGCGTCGAATGAAAAAAGTGGCGCTCTATGGCACGTGAGTCTACGCGAGTTGTTCTTTTGTGACGGCTTTTTGACGAGCGCTTCTCCTCGCACGCTAGCGGACTGGCGGTGGTCGGCACGACCACGGGTGTAGGCGCCCGTAAAATCGTTCAGCATGAGCGCGAGCAGAATCGCAAGCTTGCAGCCATACGTGCCGACCTTCAAAAGCGTGAGTAGCGTGTGTGTGCATCCGGTCACCATGGTGACGCTGAAAGCTCATTTTTGGGGAACGCGAAATGTGCAGAGCGCGCGCAGAATGCTCTTCCCCGAAAGGCTGGACCATCTCCAGGGACCGGAAACGGCAAACCACCAGGCCCGCCGGTCGTGCAAGACGCTTTTTCTGCTCAGTCTGTACCCTCGCCGGGGGCTGGGCATCACAGTTTGAGTGGAACACCAGACCCATCGGTTGTGGGACAGGATGGACATGCTCTTCCTGGTGAGGCTGGACCATCGCCAGGAAGCGGGAATGGCAAGCCACCGGGCCCGCCGGTCGTGCAGGTTGAAGAGGCACAAGATGCAGAGACCATGGGTCGCAAGGGAGGCAGTTCTGGTGGTAGCATTCCTGCTCCAGCGGCAGAAAAGACTCCAAACCCACCTTAGCTTGCACGAGGGGACAAGTTACGCGAGATGATGACACTTTTTGACCCTTTGGAGGCCAGGCCAGGCGACGCGGAGGCAAGAATCAGAATGAATGCTTTTTTTCCACCAAATGTCTGTGAGCCTCTGGCTGCTCACGTCGGTGGCTGGTGCTCGCGAAAAGGCGTTGCCACGACACGATCTCATCGTGGCAAACACTCGTGACTGCGAGGGCCGAGGAGTTGGTACACACGGCGTCCATGCGCATGACTACTGAGCGGTGCAGATACGAAGGGGGCATTACTCAGCACCGAGCCTTTTCATCGCCACCGATTTTCCGCCGACGACTCTTATCGTGAGTCATTGGTGCGCGCGGTGAAAAGCGTTCCAGACGCAGCTCATGACATGTGCTCCTCCTCCTCCTCCTTGCTATGGTGCTTTCATCATCCATCCGCTGGCTTGTAGTGTTGTGAGTAGCGCAATTTGGTGAGCAGCTTGGCGCGAATGATGGCTTGAACTCGTAAATCGTGAATGTGGTGCACGCAATCACGAAATGGCAAAAGTCACGAGTCTTGAGTGCATGCCGGGTGATGCGCGTTGCGCTCAGCACACCTTTCACGTGACACGAATGCGGCGTGTAGCGCGCGTTGCTTCCGCCCAACATGCAATCACAACGATCACGAATCTTTTTTTTTTTGTTTCAGGGAGCCATGCATCCACCATCCTCTTCTGTATTTGCACGCATGACTTTTGATCCAAATCCACGCTCATTCGGGGTCGGGTGATCGGGGCCGAACAGCAGCTAGCGGAAGAAGAGAATGGATGCAATGACAAAGCATCAGCAAAAAGTCGTGTCGCGCGATATGACGGACGAATCACCTCGGAGCTGCGGCCGCGCGGTCCGTCCGTTGCTGCTGCATGGGAGAGAGGGAGGGAGACGGCCCACAACGAGATCCGTGCAAGAGCGAAGAATGCCCACAGCAGCGAGCGCGCGCCATCACCGAGGATGATGCAGCGCTTCTCATGAATCGGACCTCGTCGGCACGCTTTTGCGAGCAGAGAGAGGCGCTGCTGCATATATGAGCGGGAGTAAGCAGCAGCAGCTTCGATGCAGACCGCTCGCTGATGGAGCTCGATCTGCGCGCGGCATTCGCCGTGCAAGTGGAACCGCAATCACACTACGCGAGGTTTGTCTCACGAGGCTCAAAGATGTCGCACCTCGAGCGAGCAGACGCGCGAGGTCACGCCTAGCTCAATTAAGCGAGCAGTCGCGGTCAAACGTCAGCATTCATGGGACCGCGCGACGCGGAAGCAGATCGGGCTCTCGATCGTATAGCACCATTGTAATTTCCGACTCGACCGACCATGCATGTGCTCATCTGCTGCACCAGCTGCGCTGCGACATCGCACAGCTCTCGCGCGCGAGCTGTGGACCGCAATCTATAAGGCGCAAATAAAGTTGCCGCTGCACCAGCTCATCAATCTGTCTCAGCAGATCTCTGCGCAGATTGTGTATAGCAATCAAGGCTGGGCGCGCGGCGCATATATGCGATGTGGCGGACCCCATCACGATCGATGGACTTGATTGTTCACGCGCGTATGATGGATCGTTCGCTGCGCACGCACGTCATCCACAAAAGCTAGACCGACGATCGTCGCTGCTGCATGCCTGATGCCAGCCGCTCATTCATACACATACACGCGGTTGATTCGACAACACCGCTGCGGCATGGTGAGTGAACGGCCAGAACTTCATATTTCGGAGCACTGACGCTGCCCATGCTGGCAAGCAAATAGCACGGCAGGCAGCACCTGCACCGCCGCCAGACTGAACCTCGTCTTGCTCGCTTGTTCTCCTCCAGCAGAAGAATCACAGTCAAGAGGCATAGCAAGTATCAGACGTACGCGACGGCGCCCGGCCGCGCCTGCTCTCTATATGTTGCATCTTTGATCGGCCTTGCTCCTGCTTCTCCTCGCCGGTCCACGCGCGGGTGATTTGGTGGCAGCAGTAGGCGGCAGAGTTATACATATATATATACACACAAGGCAAGTCGCGGTGCTCCGTGGACCAGATTTTGTGTCACTTGGGCGCACGCTCGATGATGTGCCGCGTGCTCTAACTTGTCTCGATCGAACCGCGTGCAGGTCGACCGCACTGCAGTTGCTGCATGACCTTCTTGCTGCATGATCAACAAGTCAAAAGTCGCACGAGCAATCTGACTCACTTGCGTCTGTCTCGGTGAGAGAGCTGCTCACATCAGCGTCCGAGCCTACGCATGGACGAATGGACGTGGGCAGATTCGATCGTGACTGCATCGACTTTGCTCAGCTGCACCCATCACACAGGCTGGCAATGCTGAGCCGTCAAGGCGCAATTCAGGTCACAAGAGTTGTCACACTGCAGAGCGAGGTGCACTCGATCGTGACTGTGGGGCCCAATGTCCACGAAATACAAAAGGTAACTTTCCCTCGCGAGCTTCAATCATCCCTCCCACATCCCATCCTCACCCACGCCCATTCGATCACGACTCCTCCTCAAGACTCGAATCGCATCTTCACCTCCCATTCAACGCCATTCACACCCTCTTCTCCCCCCCATCATGTTTTCACTCTCCTGCTCTCTGGAGCTCTCATTCTCTCTGTTGCGATCCAAGGCTCCCTCGCTTGGACTCCAGCCAACGAGCCCATCCACAAGCAAGTCGTTCAAGCTAACAATGACGCCAAAACGGTCGTCGACTCTTGCAACACCTGGCTCGGTCCCGGTCCAAGTCACATGTGAGTGCGTAGGCGCTGCGCGAAAGAGCCGCGAGTAGCGTGGCGGGCACCGATTCCTCGTCGCACGCATTCACAAGCGCTGAAGCTGACTTGTGCACCACTTTGAACCTCCCCAGCCCAGCATCTGGCGACACCGAAAAGGCGATCCTCAAGCTGGATGCTACTCTAGATCTAGCCACCGTTCTCTTGGCCAAAGCAGACGTGACCCTCTCCGCTTCGGACCTGCTCGACGTCATTGGTCTCATCAACACGCTCAAAGCCGACGTCTCCATCATCGTTGGACTGGTCACTGCTCGCCTGTTGGACATCAAACTGGGCGCAAAGGCTCTCCTCTTGCAGGGTCTGCTCGTCAAGCTTCAAGCTAGCATCAAGGGTTTCAAGGATGCCTGCGCAAAGAAAGCGTGAGTTCGCGTGGCGCACTCGTGCTCCCTTTGCATGCGTGCTCACCCTCTCACGCCCCCTTCCCGCCCCCTCTCCGTGCTCGCACAGCTCTGCCGATTCGGCCAACATCCTCATCAAGCTCGCTCTGGACCTCGATCTCGAGCTGTCGACTTGCATCGGCCTTCTCGGCATCCTCTGAGCCGTGGTCGTGCGCATCCGGCTTTCTTTCACCGCCAAACATTCCTGATCGCAAGGCGTCACGATGAACAATTCGCATTCGCATTCGCTCGGCGGCGACATTTCGCCTTGTAGAGAGATGTGACAGCACACCGAAACACAGAAGAAAATCGAACTCGCGTAGTACAGTCTTGGGTGTGATTCGCGGGCGTGACTGAATCGTCTGAAATTGGGGGGCTTCCCCATTCGTGATTGTCATCCTCTTTGTCGCTCGCCCAGACCACTCGAGACCTGCGTGCGGGCAGACGTGTTGGCTGCAGTCACGTCACGGGTGCGCGGTCATGATGGGTCAGCAAATCGCGAGTGTGAGTGCTGCGGGGGGACGTGCCGCATGCGCGAAGGACCATCCTGCATGTCATGCGTCCAGGGAATGCGAAACGCGCGGCAAGCACGCTTCTGGCTTTGTACGCACCCAGGTTCAAATTCACAGATATCCGTCTCTTTCGTGTCAGCTAGGCTGCCGTCTCCTTCGACTGCCCAACTGGCTCAGTCCGCGTCGCTTTCGCCTTGTCGCTGGTGCTGCACTCGCACTGTTGACTCTTCATCCCGCTCACGCAGACCTCGCACGACTTGATCGCCCCTCCGCAGCGTTCCTTGGTGCTCGCAAGACAGCTCTTGCAGTGCTGCTGCTGCGACGACGACGACGACGACTTTTGAAAAGCTGCACATGTGCTGAACATTCTCGGCAGCGGATGAACAGGGCACCAGTAATCGCTTTTTGGAAAGCGAGGTTCCGAATCGTTGGGCTTCTTCTTCCCCTTCCACGTCGATTCAGATTGCCGCCCCGGAGCGCCTCCCCACGCGTCCGCATCGCGCGCACCGCTCGCTCCTTCTCCCCACCTCGCCATGCTGGTACTTTGAAAAGTGTGCGAGTCGATATGATGAGCCGAGCAAAGTGCTTGCTGTGCTCAACGGGGTCGAAAAGATGATGTGCTGAACAGCTTCCTAAATCCGACTCTACCGCCTCGCGTATGGCAGTATTACATTTTTGGCGCACGCTCGAGGCGAACGTCTCATCCATCCTCATCACGCGCTGCACGGATGCCGTCCCTCATATGACTTCTGATCGATTCACGACTGTAGATGTTCATCACACGCGCGTGATCTACGCGCCTCGCGGTGAATGGATGAACGTTGTCGCGCACAGAATCTCTGTGAATGTCACCCCTTCACGTTCGACGATTGGACATCCACGTGATCAGAGGGAGAAGTTTGATGAAGCTTGCACTGCGCCGCGCCGCGCGCAAGCAATGGTCATCAGCGTCCTCACCAGACTTTCTTGACCATCATTCAGCGTCAAACCCAAGGTCTCCGTGAGCAGCACATCAGCATGGCCAGTCTCGTTTGCAAAGTGAGCGCCATCATGCCACCCAAGCGCGAGCGCGACGATCATCAAGCACCATCGAGCCCTTGCCCTACCGCGGCTGCTCCCAAAAAGCCAAAAGGACCGCAAGCGCGAGCGCAAGCGAATGATCAAAAATGTCCAAAGCGAGCTGCTGCAGAAGAGGTGGAGGCGTGGTCGTCAAGTCCGCGCACACGATAAACCCTCATGCCCGCGCATCTCACCTCTCCTTCACAACCCTCCCTCTCTATAGTTGGAAGTGACAGAAGCAGAGCACAATGCGAGTTCACGATTCCGCGGGGCGCACGCACGCACGCACGCACGTCAACTTCAAGGCTGATCAAGTACTCATCTCCCCCCACCGCGCGCAGCTGTGCGCAAAGCACGCATCTCACTTTGGAAAATTGGCCAGGTTTTGCAATCGCGCAGTCATATTCTTCCTCGCTCGAAAGCTCAAGTAGCGTTTTCTTTGCTCGCAAAAAAGGAGTTGATGAGCGCGAGCGTGGGCATGAAGCATTAGATTAGAGCAGGCGCGGGGGATTTCGAGATAGAAGCGCCGGGCGATGGAGCACGCGCACGCGCAAGCGCTCGCAAGACGCGCCCTCTTCCACATGCGGGCATGTAATTCACGCCTCGAGCGCCCCGATGAGCGCATTCTCCGCCTCTCTTCTGACCAGCTCGGGCGTGTTGAGGGAACACATGAGGTAGACGACGTTGCCCAGGGGTCTAGCATGAATATCAAACGTCACACCACCACCGCTACCACCTCCTCCCAATCGCGCGCGCGCGCTCCTCAATTTGGAGACAATATCCACCGAAGCTGTGGAAGTGTAGCCTGACCCCGATCCCGCATCGTCTCGGATGGATAGGGCAAGAACGCATCCGAGAGCCATTGCGCTGTCTACTCGTCGAGCGCGCGAAAGACGTTGCACGGCCGCACGACTCCAAAAGGACCAGACGGGTGCGTGAGAAGGCGAGTGCAAAGTCTCCCTCTCCCCGTCGCTGCTGCTCCAATCCGATTGCGCTTCTCGCCACAATTCGCTCCTCTTTTGCATCTGCGATATCCTCGCAATCGCTTCGAAAGCCACTTGGCAACCGACTGGATGAGCCGTGTAGCTGTGTCCATGAAGCAGCGCATCCGCCTTGTTCTCGCTCTGATTGAACGTGGAAAAGATGCTGCGAGAGGCCAACGTCACTGCCATCGGCACCAACCCGCCCGTCAAAATCTTGGCTAGGCAGCTAATGTCCGGCGGCGTGCGCAGAATCTTTGCGGGCGTGCTGTGACCCAACCTCCAAAGTCCCGTAAACACCCTGCGTGCGCGCGCGGGGAGAGACATTCGAGTCAGCACGTGGAAAGACTGCGCGCCCGCGCCCCCGCGCGCGCGCGCCACAAACTCACTCGTCGAAAATGACTGGCAAGCCTCGCCATTCGTGCGCATCCCTCGAGCCGTCGGAATGTGCGCCCACCTTGGCATCCTTGAGCGGTGGTTCGCTCAGACTGAACAAGTCCTCTGCTCCCCTGACCACATCGATGAGTGCTCGCTGGAACAGCGGATCCACAAAGATCATGCCTCCCGCACCCAGCACCAACGGTTCGATGATGAGCGCTCCAAAGCGTCTTCCTTCCACCAGCACCAAACCTTCCAACCATGCGCGCAGTTCCGTAGTGTATCGCCGCCACAGCTCGTCGGTCCGCATACGCTCTTCCACATCGTACACGCTCGATAGCGAAGCGTATCGCCTCTTTTCGCCACCCGGCAGCGTGATCGTCGGCTCGCCATCGATGATGGACACTGCTGGCGGATCCAACCATGCTCCTCTTCCGCGATACCAATGCACCGCTTGAGAGTATGTGCTAGGTTCGCACGCATCCATCGCGCCAATCGTATCGCCATGATAAGACCCCTTTAATCCCAACACTTGCCATTCTTCTGCCGCTCTGCTGCCTCCCGCACTTCCCTTTTCCCGCGCTCTCGACGTTCGCTCAAGCGTTGCCGACGACGCGCGAGGAGGAGCGTATCGCAGCGCAGCAGAAGCAATGGCCATCTTGATGCCCACCTCCATGCCCGTGCTCCCATCATCGCTGAAAAACACGCGATCTGCCCAGCCGGATCCCGGTGCATCCTCGGCCTTTAACGACGCCAAGCTCCTCTCCCCTCCTCCTCCTTCCGCCTTGCTCTCGCGAGCTGTGCCCAACAGAGCCTCTGTCAATCGCAGTGCCGGCAGGTTGGTGCTGTTGGGAAAGATGACGTGTCCAAAACGAGCTGCTGCTCTTGCTGCTGCGCGAGCAATGCCCGCATCCGAGTGACCCAAACACTGCGTCCACCACGACGCAGAGCCGTCCAGCAATGGTCGCAGCAGCGAACCGTCTGCGGCGCCATTTGCGGCACCATCATAGACCGAAAAGAAATCGCCATTGGCGCTGTCGATGACGTTTACGTCCCGTGGACCTCGCGTGAGGGTGCTGGGAAGCGCGAGATGCGTCACGCGCGTTCGTCAGGTCTGTACGCCGCGGGCCACACACGCGCGCGCGCACGTAGGACTGACTCACTGCTGCGTAAAGGGCCACCAGCACTGGTCCACTGTCCTTTGAGCCATGCTGTCCAGATCACGTATCCTCGCCTCGTGCTCCTCCCGAAGCAGCTTCACCACTGCAGACACACCTTTAGGCGTCTCCGCTGGGCCCGCTTCTGCTCCTCTGCCGCTGACCAAGCCGTCGTAGTAAGCGGCCAAATGGCGGACATCTTGCTGCGCATCGCTCAATCGATCAGGCGGTGCGCCCCACGCGCCATGCCCTCTAGGTCCAGCCAGACCAAACACGGGCAAAGAGTTTTCCGCTCCCCACTTGATCAGGTACTCTGCATTGCCCCAAGCTGCTGCTGCCCCTGCCGCAGAACCACCGCCCCCCATCGCATCGCAGAACAGTAGAATGGCTCGAACATCGTGACCTGCCAAGGTGAGTGCATCGTATGCGCTGAGCGTGGTGGAGATGCCTCCGAGAGCGCAAGAACCGACGAGGAGCGTGGGCAGACGTAGAGGTCTTAGAGCATGCGCGAAGGATCCGCCAGCTGGAGTGGGCGAATGGACACCACCTGCCGTTTCCAGGTACAAGGCGGATGCTTTGCGATGAGGTGCAGCAGCGATGCGCTGAATATGAGCGTGCGTGTCGTATACCAGCTGCGCATCGCTCGGTATGGCCCGACCTGATCGAGCGGCTGCCAAGTGCGGCGATACGGCTTCTCCATACTGCACCAGCGTGCTCGCGTGTACGCCCGGTGCGAATCGATGAATGTGCCTGGGCGCCGGGGGGCAACGTATTCAGTGCTGCGTGCTGCGTGCTGCGTGCTGCCTGCCCCGCGAGCGTACATCCACACCACCCCATGCAATGCACGACCACCCCCTCCCCCCTCCCCCCACTCACCCCTCATCGGCCTCGTGATCAGGTCCAGTGGACACGGGTTTCAAGTAGTGCACCTCCTCCTCCGCCCTCTGACTGGCCAGGCACAATGCCGTAGCAAAGATGGACTTGCCAACATCCGTATTGGCACCGAATATCTGCGCTACTCGAACATGTCTGAAGAGGAGCGGTGTCACTGGCAAGGGTGACATGATACGATGCCATGGGCGGGCGTGCGGGCGGGCGTGCGGGCGAGCGAGCAGCGGAGTGGTGTGAGAGGAGGAGGAGGAGGCTGCTGCTGGGATGCGCGCGGGGTGTCAAGTGAATGTGAATATTTCCGGCCCCAACACTCGCGCCGCGCGACTCGTCGGGCGTGGTGTGTGTGTGTGTGTGTGTGTGTGTGTGTGCTTTTTGGTTTCTTCCGCGAGGCTGCGCTGTTAGTATCACGTGATGCGCTTCCCACCTTATGACCGAGCTAGGGCGCTCGACTCGACACGCCAATCTCGGACTTAGTGGGCCGGGCGGGTGGTGAGCGCATGCATGCATGCAGCTTTCATGCTGCAGGAACTCGCTCGCTCGCTCGCGCGTGCGCCCTCCTCATGACAGCCCCTCACTCACCACCATCACTCACGACTCGTGCGCTTCATTGCGGCCAAGATGACGTCGAGCGCGACAACATCTACCGCCTCATCCTTTGCTACTCACAGTCCTGCGACGGCGGCGGCGGCGATGGCGGCGACCACCGCCGGCGCCGCTGCTGCTGCTGCACCGGCAAAGAAGCGCAATCGCGCCATTCTCTCGTGTCTGGTGTGCCACGAAAGAAGGGTGAAGTGCGATCGACAATTACCCTGCGCACCGTGTAGAAGATACGGAGCGGTCTGCACCTACGCTGCCCCACCTTCCACCTCTACCAAGCGCAAAAAGGCAGCAGGGGGATTGTTGCGCGCCGATGAGAGGGATGAGGAGGAGGAGGATGAGCAAGGGGAGGCTCGCACGTCCACCAAAGACAAACCTTTTCGCGGATTCATGCAGCAATTCGAGGAGCAATTTGCCTCTCAGGAGGAGCAGGAGCAGGAGGAGCGGGATGAGAGGGGCAAGGAGCGGTCTACGGCTGCCACTACGCACGGCGACGAGAGCACCGCATACACGCCGTGCGACGTGGCCAGGATGCAAGCGTGCTGGAAACGCTTGCCGTCGCAAAAGGTGTGCGAAGAGCTCATCGGCTTTTACTTGAGCAACGTCGACTACATGTACGGTGCTGCTGAGGCTGGGCGAGACTCGCTGTCCGCTTGGATGAGGGGCTTGATGGATCGCTTTCAACCCGGCACCGCGCAGATCTGTCCCTTGCTGCTCAATCACGACGACGCTAGCAGGATGGCATTCGTAGCGACAACGATGCTAGCAGCCGTTCAGATGCTCGATCCGCATCGAGCCGTATTATCCCTTGTGGATTCGGACCCCACCTCGAATCTCTTCGGTGCAGCAGCAGCACCGGACAAGTCGTCCACTCGAGCGTTGTTGGAGAGCACAGCCCTGGCACTGCTCGACTTGGCCATCGAAGCGGACGAGGCCTCTCCATTGCAAGTCAGAATCAATCTCATCCTGCTGCACTATTTCAAAAACGAAGGGAGGAGCGCGACGCCTACGGCCAAGATGCTCGTCAGGCGCAATGCTCAAGTCGTCCGAGCTTGCAAACTTCACCTCGACCCGCCCCTCGACTCGCCAGAGCTGGAGAGTCTTCGAAGCCTCTTTTACACGTACTACATTTACGATCGGTGAGTGGTGCTTGCGCGTGCGCGATTGGCGTCACTCGACTAACGCGTCCTCGCGATCGCTGCAGGTACAGCTCGGTCAACTTTGGAGCGCTACCTGCGATTGCGGATCACGAGATCACCACGCAGCCACCTGTTCCAGAGCATTTTTCCAGCGCAACAAATGTAGGACTGGGCGCATCTCCCAAGATTCGTTTTGCCAAGATTGCAGGCGACATGGCCAGCGCCATTTATCGCGCTCAGCTAGACGATGCCACGATCGACCGGTTGGACGCGGAGCTGGTGGAGTGCGCCGACAACCTGCCTTGCGCTTACGCCCTCAGCTCTACGAACGATGTCGAAGCATCGCAGAGTGGCGTGATGCAAGTGCAACGACATGCACTGTGGATCAGCTACCATTCGGCCAGAGCCATGCTGCACCGCACGCGCTTCTTTAGCCGAAACGCCACGCCCAGTGCGGCGGAGGAAAAGAGTCGAGCGCTGTGCATCGAGTCGGCCATCGAGATGATCAAGGCGCAACAATCTGTGCGCAAAAGGACAGGCATGGCGGTAGAGCTGTACAGCCGATCTTTTTTGGCTTCCTACCTCACCCTCGAACCTGCCACCACGCTGGTCGTTTCTGCGCTGACGGAAGTTGCCAAGACGCCAGGCAATGCTGCTCTACCGCACACGGTGGATGTGTATCTCGCTTGGGCACGACGAGGTCTGCTGTGTTTGGAAACGCTACCATCGGATCTGGACTTGGCTTCTCGTAGCGCGCACCTCCTCTCCCGCATCCTCAAAAAGGCAAGTCGAGTGGTAGAGATTCGAAGAAGAGTGCAGAGCAGCGGCGGCGATGGCGGCGCCTCATCGAATGGTGGTGCGGCGGCGCACGCTCCAGAGAAGTGCAGAGGCGTGGCTTCGAGAGAGAGGGATGCGATTAGCGGATTGATGTTTGACGAGGTTGGAAGACGTATTCCCATGCCGTTTTTGGAGCCGCCGCCCAGTAGTCGGGCGAGCAGGGCTGCTGAACGAAGAGAGGATGAGCAGAGGGAGAGGGAAGAGGAGCAGAGGTTGCGCGCGCTCAGTGCTCGGTCGGTCAACACCGATGCGTCGGCATCGGCATCGGCGTCGGCGTCGGCATCATCGGTCATGAGCATGGATGCGCTCAGTATCAGCGACCCATCACCCTCTACCGTCCAGACCAGTCCAGAAGGCTCCACCCAATCGGACATGCAAACGGGGCCCGACGAAGGGACGCATTCGCACTCGCATTCGCGCGAGCGCGAGCGCGAGCGCGGGTACGTGGCCGATGCGCACGCATTCGACGGCATGCAAATGCAAGTGGAAGACTTGGCTCTGCAAAACGCAATCACGACGACGAACGCTTCGCCACCGCCCTTGACCTTTGCAGAGATGGGATTGAGCTTTTTTGATGATCCTGCGGCGCTCTTTGCGCCCGACACGACGACGACGACGATGATGATGGATTCTGGAATGATGTTCGAGGCAGACGCAGCGAACGCTCGGAGCAGCGCGCCTCTAGCGCCTTCGCACATGCCACCCATGTCTCCGCGTACTGAAGCGCTCTTGTCCGGTTGGGTCAGCATGGCTCCTGATCCTGATTCTCCTTCCGCACCTGCATTGTCCACCGCCGCCTCATCCGCACCAACGTGCGCAGCGATCGATCAAGCCATGACTTCCAGGGTCGCTTCTGGCATGTCCAGACAGGCTCACGCGGATGTAGAGCAGCAGCAGCAGCATCCACAACAACAGCATTTTGCCGTCATCGGCGCGGCACAAGCGCACACTCCTAATCACGCTTCGTTTGAGCAGCAACTGGATGCCTGGTTGGCTATTCTTCAAGCACAAGGAGGGCTCCACGGGCAATGAGCCCGCCCACGCGAGTGCACGATTTACGTCGACTCCTCCTCCTCTTCTTGTACACGTTACATTGACTTTTTCGACTCATCCTGTACATCATCCGTAATGGCCTGAAGAAGGCAAAAAAAGAAAAAGAAAAAGAAATCCGCGCCGAGCGGACGCTCACTCGGAGAAGAAATCGAGCGGGGTGCTGCGAGATTGGATAGCGATGTAGTCGGTGGGCTGCGCATCGGGCGTCGAGCGAACTTCGTTGGTATACAACGAATGGTAAACCACATCGCGTTCTTCCTCTCCCGGCCTGCGCACGAGTCGAGTCGAGTCGAGTCGAGCCGGAGCGTGTGCGCGGGGGCAAGCAATTGAGCATGGGCTTTTGCGCTTCCCACTTTTTTTCAACCAGGACTTTGCGCCACTTGTCCCCTCTCTCTTCGCGTGCACACGTATACTCACGGATCGTGAATGCGAACGTGAATGTATGCGTCGTTGCCTGCTTTGGCAAGTCGGATCTTGCCAAAGATCTGCGCGCGGGCGTGGGTTTGCGATGAGAATGCCATGCGATGCCATGCGATGCGGATTGGGCACCCTCTCCGCTGCCCGAGGATGTGCGGCTCTAGCTCACGATGGTTCCGTAGCTTACGGCGCCTGCGCGCACGGCTACCAAGTCCTTGGACGCTTCGTCACGATGGTGGTGTGGGGGATGGGGGGGGGGGGGGGGCAGTATGCGCGCGCGCGTATGCTCGTTCACTTCAACTCGAGTGCGCTTCTGCCTTTCTTCATCCCCCCACTCTGCGACTTACAGCTGAAACTGCTCAGATCTTCATCCGATACGCCAGACACTTTGGAATACATGCGAGGTTCGTGCGCGTCCCAATGAGCTCGACTGGGTTTGGGGAGGAGCAAGATGAGGGAATGAATGAGTACTTTGTTTCTCCCTTTGGATCCAAGAGGAGCTTTCCGTTGCTTTTGCCATTCGCTCACCTCTTGAGAAGCTCTTGCTTGATCTTGGATTCGAGTCGGGTAAAGGCCTGAGAGCGAGCGAGAGGGAGAGGGGAGAGGAAGTAAGCAAGAGTGAGAGTGACGAGGAACGTGAGTGAGCCAAGCGAGGGACTCTTGGTTGACACGCTCTAATTGCAGCTTCCCCCGACCCGACCGACGAACGCTCACATCGATGGCTCGTTCTTGCGGAGCATGCTCCTCGCTCAACTGAACATCCTCTTGATCTGCCATCTTCAGTTCTGTTGTATCTGACTGTGCGCGCGCGCGCGTGTGTGTGTGTGTGTGTGTGTGTGTGGTGCGTGGAGGATGTGATTCAGGAACAGGATGTGGGTGGAAGACAGATGAAGTCCGATGCGATCGTGATCGAGTGCATAGTGCCAATGCACCCACGCCTTCGATTTATCCCGGCAACAACACGCTGCACTGCGCGCACATGCATGCATCGCTCACATATATGCACCGCCTCGATCGATCGCGGCGCGCTCGGGCCTCTCTTTTTTCCACGTGGGAGCTGTCTGCGCGCGCGCGCGATAAGAGCCATGCAGAGAGCGTGTCCCCGCACTCGCACTCGCCGTTACTCCATCCCCTTCCTCGTTGCCCAAGTCACAAGGGCGAGGTCAATCTACGAGTGGGAAAGACGCTCGCACGCACACAAAAAGTTCATTTTCGTCATCCGAGAAGCACGTGCCATGCATGCATGCAAGTCGAAACGCTACAGAGGCATTCTGAAAGTGTGCCCCCCCACCCCTAATGACAGAGCAAAGACCCATTCACGCAATTCAACGCAATTGTAATACATGAGTTTCATTCCCTGCACTGTCGAGCGCTAAATATCACGCGGCAGCCTGCTGAACCTCATCTCCCGCATACGCCGCGTCGTAGAATTCCCTTCCGCTCGTAGTAGGCTTGACGATGTCCGCACGTATGAGCCAATCTCCAAACGCTTCTCCCTGCAAGCGCTCGCGAGAGTAGCGCCGAATCATGGGTTCCAGCGTCGCCAAGATCTCCTCTTCGCCCACATCCGACATGTACGGTTTGCTCAGCCGCATGCCATTCTGACCTCCACCCAGCAGCATGAGGTATCTGCCCGGTGCGCGTCCCACGAACCCGATCGGCGTGATCCAGGGTCTGGAGCAACCGTTGGCGCATCCGCTCATGCGCATCGGAATCTCCGTATCGCGCAATCCGTACTTTTCCACAATCTTTTCCACCTTGTCCACCAGGATGGGCAGGTACCTCTCCGACTCTGCAAAGGCCAGACCGCAAGTGGGAAAAGCGACGCACGCAGAAGCGCTCAGCTTCAGACCCGAGTGCGACCAATTGTCCATGCCCCATTTTGCCAGGTGCGCTTCGATGCGAGGCTTCTCCTCTGGCGTCACGTCCGCAACGATAATGTGCTGGTTCGGCGTCATTCTAAAGCGGCCCTTGTGAATCTTGGCCAACTCTCGCAAACCGGTCCTGAATGGATCTCCAGGAGCATCGCGAACCCGTCCATTCTCCAACCACAAGCCGCAGTGCCAGTTGCCCTTGTAGTCGCGCGTCCAGCCGTACACGTCGGTGTTCGTGTCGAATTTGAACTCGCGAGCAGCTCCCAGCGCGTACCCTAGGCGCTTCTCCAGCTCTCGCTTGAAATTCTCCGCACCCTTCCAGTGATTATCGATGGTGTACTTTAACCTCGCCTGCTTGCGGTTCGCGCGGTTGCCCGTATCGCGCTGGATCAGCATCACCTGCTTGCACGCCTCGAGCGTCTGGTCCGGCGTGACGAATCCCAGCACGTCGCCCAAGCGCGGGTAGGTGACCTTCATGGAATGCGTCACGCCCATGCCACCACCGACGCTGATGTTGAAGCCTGCCAATCGCTTGGTGCGCGGATCCGCAATCGCAATCAACCCGATATCGTGCGCAAAGCAGTCAGTGTCGTTGCGCGGTGGTACGGCAATGGCGATTTTAAACTTTCGCGGCAGGTACACGTTGCCGTACAGCGGCTCGTGATCCTGCAGCGCGCCGCCCGCTAGCAGCTGCTTCTTTTTGCTGTCCGTATCGGCATCCAACCAAATCTCGTGGTAAGAGTCCATGCGCGGCAATAGGTACTCCGAGATGCTCTTGGAGAATTCGTACGTGTCTTCGTGCAGCTGCGAGAGTGCCGGGTTCGGCGAGCACATGACGTTGCGGTTCACATCGCCGCAGGCCGCAATGGTGTCCAACAAGCTCTTGTTGATGCCTTGCATAGCAGCCTTGAGGTTGCTCTTGAGGATGCAGTGGTATTGAATGGTCTGACGAGTCGTAATCTTGAGCGTATTGTTGCCGTAATCCGTAGCGACATCGTCCAGCTGCAACCACTGCTCAGGCGTGCACACGCCACCAGGAATGCGGCATCGGATCATGAAGCTGTACGCGGGCTCCAAACCTGCCGCTTTGCGCTCTTCGAACGTATCGCGGTCGTACTGCTGGTACGTGCCGTGGAACTTGGTCAATTGCCCATCCGACTCGGCGAGCGCACCCGTGCTCTTGTCCTTCAAACCCTCCACGATCGTGCCGCGGAGATAGTTGGATGCGATTTTAATGTGCTCATTGGTGATCGGTTCCGGCTCGGCCTCCTTCACCTCGATCGTGTCGACGCCGAGAGCCTTCCAAAGCGCGGGCTCCCACGCGCGGTATCCAGTCTGCGCGCCATCGGGATCCTGATCGTCACCCAGACCGATGGGCGCCATGCGGTCGAGACCCAAAACCTCGAGACGCGCATCCAGGTCCTTTCCAGGCTTGTTGTAGTACCGCGCATCCTCCGGCCGAGGCCAGTAGTGGCTGTCGCCCATCGCAAAGACGGTGAATCGCGGTGCTTGCTCTTCGGTCAAGTCGCCCTTGTTCAGCTTGGCCAGCGTCTTGAAGGTATCGCGCGCATTCTGAGGCGGCTCTCCTTGACCAGCAGTAGACGTGACAAAGACGACATTTTGCTCCTTTTGCAGCTCTTCGGAGATGGGAAAGTCGTCCATGGCGATGACGCGCGTAGCCAGACCGCGCAGCTTGCCGCGCGTGCCAAGTTTGCGTGCGACCTTTTCAGCATTGCCGCCGTCTGACGCAAAGAGGATGAGCAGCGGAGGGCCATCCATGGATCCCAGCAGAGCATCGTAGGCTTCCTTTGCTTTGCGGCGCTGCAAATCGCGCAGACCACTGCCGGTGCTGGATGCCAGCTCGTACGACAGCTCTGGTTGGACGTTGGCGAGGTTGCTGAGATGGCTCTGCCTATCCAAAAACGCCTTGAGCTGCTCTCGGACGCGCACACCATCGAGTCGGAACACGTCGCTACCCCGCGCTTCTGCAGACGGGTCCCATCGGTACAAGGGCCAGTAACCCGAATCCACTGCCAGCTTCGTCTCGCGCAGCACTTCGAGCGCGGGCGCATCTTCTGTGCGGTACGGAATGTAGGCTAGAACGACGGACGGACCATCAAACTTGTCCGCCTCCATGAGCGCGTGCAGCACCTGCGTATAGTCGGAGTAGACTGCAGTGCTAGCGACGTACGTGTTGCCATAGTTCATGGCGTACAATCCCACATCCTTTTTGCGCTTGTGAGCCTCGACAGCATCGCGCTGCGTGTAGGGCAAGCTGTCAAAGATGAGCATATTGACATTTTTGCCCGACGCGATGACGTGGTGAACACCGGACATGCCCGCATCGTAAGCCCAAGCATCGCTACCGACGATCCACCTCGAGCGAGGTGCGAGGTGCGCAGCGTGCGATCGAACGCCATCCAGCGTAGCCGTTGAGTCGGCAGCGAGAAGCTGTGCAAGTTTGGGGGCGATGCGCTCCCGAGCGGCATCGTCCTTGGCAGATGTCCATGCGGTCAGCGCTTCGTGCAAGGCAGGAGAGATGCCACCGGCTCGTAGAGCAGCTTGAGCGGCTCGCTTCAACTCTTGAGAGCTCTCTAGCTGCGCCAAGACCTGACCAAAGGCGTACTCTGGCGAGCGCGCAGATGGGTGAGGATGAGAATCGGATGCGGGCGAATTGATGACGGAGAGTCGCTCCTTGAAGACTTGTTGGAGCATGACGTTGTACGCATCTTCGTGGCGAGGCGTGGCGATGGGGGCAATGTTGACAGGTGCTCGCGAGAATGCGCGGGGTGAGCCCACCGTGAGACTCGTGCCCCGCTTGTCCGAGGCGAAGAGCGAGGCGAGCGATTCGACGGCTGCTGCGACATCTTTGCTCACGTCGCCAAGCAGACCGCCAACGAGACGTTCTGGCATTGCGCGACCGTCATCGATGGCTGCTCTTTGGAAAGCGCCAGCGACATCCACGAATACGGGTCCAAGTTTGGTGGTGCGCCGCTGACTGGCTTCGAGCACGGCGATGCGCTTGGCCTGAGGGATCAGCTCAAAGAGTTGGTCTGCGAGAAGAGGACGCAAGAGGTTGATGGAGACGACCGATGTGTCGGAGGATGCAAGCTGCTCTGCACCAGAACCGAGCACGACTGCGACGTCTGAGGCGCTCGAGCCGGAATGCAGGGTGAATGGAGCCACCTTGCGGTCCAAGATGGACGAGACCGTGCGATACGCCTTGGCAACGAGCGCAGAGACGTCATCGTGACCGGTAGCAGCGCTGGCGGACGTGCTGGCGTGCGAGTGGCCGTTGACCGCGCTGCCATTGAGACCGGCGCTAGTAGTGGCGGCGCCCAACAACCGTTTTAGATCTGCTTCAGGCACAGGCTCGATAGGGCGCGCAGTGACGGGTTGGGTGTGGTCGAAAAAGTGAAGCACGCCGAGAGAGTGTGTGGCGGCGAGGTGAGCGGCCAAGACTGCGTGATCGCGCGCTTGTTGGGGCGTGGAGCTGTACAGCACGACGAGACCGGATGATCTCAATGCCAGGACGTCGGAGTGATCGGCTGATGTGGCGACGTGCAAGACGACGGGCAAGGTGCAGAGTTGGGGCAGATGAGGCACCAATCGAGTCAGGACGAATTGATCAGCGACGATCAAGAGGGAAAGCAATGCGCCTTGGCCTTGCTCCTTGCGAAGCTTCTTGGCCTCGCGAACAGCATCCGTGCCTGGATCCGCGCTGGCGGGGAGTGTGAGCGTGTCGAGCGCGCTGTACTGCGATAGACTGGCAAGGTGGGGTGCAAAGGGGGAGGAGGAAGCGTCGCTGGATTCCACATGGATGATGGAACGTGAAGATTGGGCGACGATGCGAGCCACCGCAGCGGCGCTGGATGTGGACGCCATGGTGAGGCGAGTGTTGTG